ACGGGGGCGGGTAATTTCTTGGTCCTCCGCCGGTACTTGCGGATTCAAGGGTACAAGAAGAGGGACACCATTTGCCGCTCAAACCGCAGCAGGAAATGCTATTCGGACAGTAGTGGATCAGGGGATGCAACGAGCAGAAGTCATGATAAAAGGCCCCGGTCTCGGAAGAGATGCGGCATTAAGAGCTATTCGCAGAAGTGGTATACTATTAAGTTTCATACGAGACGTAACTCCTATGCCACATAATGGCTGCAGGCCCCCTAAAAAAAGACGTGTGTAAAAATAAACATTGAAAATATTTCAAGAGAAATAAATAATTCAATGATTTGATCAAATAATATGGGTCAAGAGAAAGTAACAGTATCTACTCAGCCACTACAGTGGAAGTGTGTTGAATCAAGAGCAGACAGTAAACGTCTTTATTATGGACGCTTTCTTCTGGCTCCACTTATGAGAGGACAAGCCGATACAATAGGCATTGCGATGCGAAGAGCATTGCTTGGAGAAATAGAAGGAACATGTATCACACACGCAAAATCCGAGAAAATACCACATGAATATTCTACCATAGTCGGTATTCAAGAATCCATACATTAAATTTTAATGAATTTGAAAGAAATTGTATTGAGAAGTAATCTGTATGGAACTCGTGATGCGTCTATTTGTGTCAAAGGTCCCGGATATGTAACCGCTCAAGATATCATCTTACCACCTTCCATGGAAATCGTTGATAATACACAACATATAGCTAATCTAACAGAACCAATAACCTTGTGTATTGAATTACAAATCGAGAGGAATCGCGGATATCGTATAAAAACGCCAAATAATTTTCAAAACGGAAGTTATCCTATAGATGCTGTATTCATGCCTGTTCGAAATGCAAATCATAGTATTCATTCTTATGTGAATGGAAATGAAAACCAAGAAATACTTTTTCTCGAAATATGGACAAATGGAAGTTTAACTCCTAAAGAAGCACTTCATGAGGCCTCCCGAAATTTGATTGATTTATTTATTCCCTTTTTCCATGCAGAAGAACATTTAGAAAACAATCAACACAAAGGTACTTTACCCCTTTTTAATTTTCATGGTAGATTAGCTAAACCAAGGAAAACGAAAAAAGAAATAGCATTGAAATATATTTATATTGACCAATCAGAATTGCCCCCCAGGGTCTATAATTGCCTCAAAAGGTCTAATATCAATACATTTTTAGAACTTTTGAATAACAGTCAAGAAGAACTTATGAAAATTCAAGATTTTCGGATAGAAGATGTAAAACATATATTGGACGTTCTAGAAATATAAAAGCATTTTGCATAAAATTTAATGAGTTTTGAATCGTTAACACAATCCATATACTCGGAATATATCCAAAATTTAATTGACTAAACGTATCTAGGGAAAATTCACTTTAAGGCGACTATTCCCTAGATACACATGTCATGATTTTTTTTATTTCAAAAATGAATCAATTGAAAATAAAAAAAAAGATTAAAAAAGACCTAAAGTTAGGGATTTATCAATAGGTAATGTTGCTCCAATACCCAACCAAAGGGCTACCGCGGTACCAATTAAAAAGACTGTTGTCGCTACTGGACGACGAAATGGGTTTTGGAATTTATTAACATTCTCCAAAAAAGGTACTGTTAATAATCCCGCAGGTACTGAAACCATTAAAAGAACACCCAATAATTTATTGGGCACTGTATGAAGTATTTGAAATACGGGAAAAAAATACCATTCAGGCAATATCTCCAAGGGAGTTGCAAATGGATCCGCAGGTTCACCAATCATTGATGGTTCTAGAACTGCTAAACCTACGTTACATGCAATAGTACCTAAAATTACTACTGAAAAATATATAAAAGATCTCCGTAATAATTATGACCCATCCCTTTAGCTAATTTAGCTCTTAATACAGGATCGTTCAAGTCGGGTTTTTTTGTTATTAGGATAGGTGAATTATTCTAGATCCATCCCCCGAAAGAACCGGACATGATAATTTTCCATCATCCGGCTCGAGCACGAATCAAACAAAGCAAATAGATGCATATAAAAAAATCGATATGTTATCCATATCCACATATATATGAATGATTCTATGTAAATAAAAATTCACCAGTTTCCTTTTCGTTTCGGAGTTTTAACAATCAAAGATTGCAAAGAATCCTGTTCTTACAGATAAATGCTCAATACCCAAGTAGGCTTACAAAGTTGATTATGATCAAGTGCTTTATGGGTCGTCTCAGACCTTTCAATTGAACTTTATCCCAAAAATATCGAGACTTTTTATACAAAGGATTTACTTGTTACTAATAGAATTTAGCCTATGTTCTTCTTTAGATCTCTTCTTTCACTCCATAGTATAATAAGTCAAGTCAATACAAAGGAAATGAATCCATTTACATCCTATTAAGTTAAGTAAGTGAAATATATAAAAAAGAATCAAAAAATCAAAATCATGCCATATCACTTAT